AGCCCCCCTCGCTGCCGCGCTGACCAGGGCAGGCTCGCCAGGTCTGCTAGGAAACACATTGAACACTTTCATCTAGATGAAGGGTTTCCCGTCTGCCTGTTTCTTTCTCTTCCGAGAGGGGAAAAGATTTAGAGGTTTGTCACCCACATATTTTGCTGCCTCCCCCCCTCTTTTTTTTTCAGTTTAAATGCACCCAGCATTAAATAAAATTTAATGCAGCGTAAAAAAAAAGGTTTCCACGTACGGAGTTATTTATACTCAACAAACAGGACATCTGTTTTTCTTTTCAAAAATCTGGGGTTTGAAGTTCTTAATTTCATCCAGAGTCTCTATCAAAGCTCCGAGATTTCTTTTTTGTTCTTGGAGAGAGATCCTTACAGTGAACCACAAAGAAAGTTGGTGACCAGAAGGGTCAGTTAAACTTTAAAAAAACCCAAAATAAAATAGAAATTAAAAAAAAATCAGAGTGACTGCTGAGATACCGCATATCTCAACGCATCTCCTTGTATTTGGGGATTGCTAGGTTGTGCTCTAGCTATGCTGCTTAAACTGAAACACAGAGGCCCAGTGAGGGAGGGGAAGCTCGCTCGGACTGTTTTGAAGTGTTTGTCATTGTGATTATTAGCATCTCCTCTGGACACGGCAGTAGCTGCTGGCGGCAGCGCTGATGCTTCATGAGGATCGTAGGGCCGGTCGGGTCGGCGGTACCTCGTTGATCCTAGGGGCTGGATATTCCTCTGTTCCGCTGCTCGTTTTTTATTCTGGAGGCAAATGTAGGTGTTGGAAACGCCCGAGAAGCACTCCATCCCCTCTCCCAAAACTGCGGCGACGGCAGCATCACGATCTTGCTGTTGCGGGTTTCGTGCGTGCACAGGTGGCGAGTGATTTGGTAGCCGGGTTTAAGACGTGCTTCCCAAAATGAAGCGGCTCGTTACGGAGGGAACGGCTCTGGTCGTGTGTGCAGGCGCGGCTGGTGGGGTGGGGAAGGGGGTGAGGATCGCAGCGCCTGCACTGCTAATACGTAATCGCTTTGGAACGTAAGGTGATAACGGGCATCGTGCTCTTAGACGGGCAGATAGGGGCTATTGCGCCTGCATGAAAAAGCATACATTTGGGTCAGCGCTCTGGTGTAGGGAGTAAACTGCGATTCCCCTTTGAAGAAAATCCCTTTTATTCGCTTTAGAAAGGGATGCGGGGCGCGGCGGGGTAATACTCTGGCATTCACCCAGCAAGGATGCGGATCAACAGAGGCATCATCACCTCTGTTCTAGATGTTCCGTACATTTCTATGTCCATTTCCCCTATACCAGCCCCTCTCTGTATTTTTCGCGGTTTACGCTTCTCAGTTAAGCCCAAGCACTTGCCTTAGGTGAAGGGGGAACTGCAAAGGCAGAAGTCAGTGTATCGTAACGCTAAGAAACAAGGACCCAAAGGCAACTAGCATGCTGGAGCGATTTTGCACCAGAAACCATAGATTTTTCTATGAGGACCCGAGATTATCGGTCGTTTCCCTCTCCTTTAATCCCAAAAGCGTGAACATCGATCACGGAACTCTACCTCAAATGACCCGAGTGGAAATGAAACATCCCAGCTGGGGATCCGGCTCGATCTGTCCCCTGCTTGCCGGGGTGAGAACCACGGCACCAGCATTTCAGGCTGGCGCAGCAAAGCAAGCAGGGAGTACCCTGATCCCGTGGGGGCCGGTCAGACAACCCCCTCGGAGCTGTTTTCCAGCAGCGGGACCGGTGATACCGTGTGCCGCCCCAGCCCCCTTGCCTGCGCACCGGTGCCGCGGTCACCACCGGTGCAACCCAGCCCAGGGTGGCTACCAGCGGCTCCGAGGGGCCCGCGGCACCCGGGGCCGCTTTTTTTTGCAGCCCCTGGGAGCACCGCGGCTCCGCGCCCCGGCAGGATTTCTCCGCCGCCTGGAAGCTGGGCTCGGGGGCCCCGGCGCATGTCCAAACTTGCTAAGAAAATGTAATAAAACCCACAGACAAAACACCACCAAAAAACACTCTTCCTCCGCCCCCCCCCAAAAAAAACCCAACAACCCGGCGCTGCAGGGGAGCCGGCTTCGTCCTCAGGAGCGGCGCCAAAATAGCGCGATTCCTCCGCCTCAGCTGATTTTTCGCTGGCGGCAGCGTCTTTGTATTTTCCCGCATGTAGATGGATTTTAAAAACAATGTTATATTTAAACCTGTTTTCAGCCAGGCTGGCATGTAGGGGGACTATAGTTGTTCTTTCGAGATTTCCCTTGGAGAATAAGGTCACACCGCGGCGCGACTTCGTTACGCCTCGCTGTAAGGCTCCCCCTGCGCTCTTTGCTTTATCGCCTCGAGTGCGGAGGACGGCGAGAGGGCAGAGAGGGAGCCAGGCTGGCTAAAATGCGGATGGTAAACGCTGGGAGGTCCATCATTGGCTGCGGCAACCGTCATGTGCTGCCGGCGGCTGCAATGCAGGCACCACGACTGCATTAAAATCTAGTTTTGGTATGCTCAGGTCCTCGAGGTCTCATCAAGCCTGCCTGGCTCTTCATTAGGGCGCTGCAGAAGAAGAGATCGCCTCCTGCTTGCTTCTGCTGCAGGGCTGCCGCTGCTGCAATCGCTGCCCTGGGTCCAGGGGATGGGCGTAGCTTCCACTGCATCATCACTATTATTATTATTATTATTGTTATTATTATTATTATTATTACTACTACT